GGATGGAGACGCAAGACCCCAGCAGCCTGACCCTGGTGTCTCCTGTAGAGATTTCTCTAGGTACATGCCTGGGTAACAGGCAATCAAGCCTGAAGTTTTGGCCATGTCCATCAGGGCAGATGTCAAGAATGGAGACATCTAGATACCTTTTGCATCTATGGGGCTCATAGAGCTGTGTGGGGCTACATAGTTACATCCATCCATTCATGGTCCAGCTGCCTTTGGTTCTGTTTTGATGCTGACCAGAATGCCTGACTGCCCAGCTTGGAGCCTGTTGTAGCTTCAAGGAACATGAATTCCTGGTTAAGAAGACTGTATGCACTCTGTTCAACATCAGAGCCATTCAGAGCGCCCTTGACTATGTGCAGTCATTTCTAACAAGCATGTATGGCATGCTGTCATGTTAAGTAAGGCATGGTGCCTAGAGCTGTGAGCCTAAGGGTTGGAAAAGTGGATTAGCATCCAGTCAGGGAAGACAAGTGTGTGGGCCATTGGCCTAATCACAGCAGACAGTGGGAAGTCTTGCCTTATGTAGCAGAGGCACAGACCGCTGCCTGTCAAGTTTCTGTCGCCAAGCATTGCCCATCCTGCCTGCTTTTCTGAATCCTAACTCTGAAAACTTTTGGGCAGGTGAGATGGCCCAGCAGGTAAAGCCTGCTGAGTTGAGTTCAAGCCTATGCATGCCAGGCAAGAACTCTCCCAACTGAATTACAATCCCATCCCCCTAACTGCTGCTTTAAAATTTATTTCTTGGGACTGGAGAGATGCCTTAGTGGTTAGTTAAGAGCACCAGCTATTTTTGCTGATCTGATTTCAGTTCTCAGCACCCACATGGCAGCTAACAACCATCTGTAACTCCAGTTCCAGGGACTTTGATACCCTCTTCTGGCCTCCACAGGCATTGCACAACATGGGTACACTTACATACATGCAGGCAAGACACCCACACATATAAAATTTTTTTAAATCTTTTTTAATCTTTTTTAAATTATTTCTCCCCACTAGGTGAAAGATGTCCCAAATAATGCTCGTCAACCTCTTTGAATAAATACTTATTTACAGCCACACCTACCAGTCTCAATATAACATCCAACTAACTAACACCCAACACTCAAGCTTTCACTCGGTAGACCCGACAACAGCTGGCAGATTTTTGAATGATAATACAAATCTTCTCTAAGGCCATGTAGACCATTAGAGGCTGAGAGAATGTACAAGTATCTAAAACCTGCCAATGATTTATTTTATTACCTTAAATTCATCTTGGCCCTTTGGAGCTCAGACTCTGTTGGGCATGGGAGTCACCTGGAGAGCTCAGCTGGACACACATGCTAGAGCCCCAGTCAGCAGATGGAGGGCTGTGAATGCTACCTACCATGATTCTGATATGTGCCAAGGCTTGAGAGTCGCTGACTTAACCCTTAGGATGCTAATTCCTCTAAAAAGAGATAAGCCTTGATGTGAGCTCTAAGGGACAGGGACGTCTAACACAGTAAGAGCAAAAACCCCATGAAGACCATTCTGCCACTTGTATGTATGTGAAGGAGCCTCACAGTGCTGCTCACTGACCACACCCAGTAAATAGAATTATGGGTCCTGGTACTGTGGATGTCCCGTCCTTCCTTGGAAATGCCCCCCATTCTCTTGAGTGGATAAGAATCAAGCGTCCTCTTTAAAGAAACCCCTGTTGTATTTTCCCATGACCCAGCCAGGTCTTCGCAATCTCCAGTTTTCCCAGCTGTACCCGGCCAATAAACCTGCCAATTAAGCAACTGAATATCATTATTGCGAATGTAATTACAGACAGTAATTATGAGCTTGTAAATGCCTCTCGTGAATGGAGCCCTTTTCCCAAAGCATCTCAAGTGTTTCTCTTAGGAGGGTAGAAAGCAACCCTATCGCTTGCCTCACCCCAAACACAGCTCCTCTTGCTAGAAGCCCCCTCTTGCCAGCCCAGGGGACATGCAGAACAAGCCTTAATGGGCTCTGCTTAGAGGCAAAATGTCCCCCTTGGGCCCTGCCCTTCTGTGTCCTTCATCTGAGGCCCTGGGTCACCAAGGAGCCACGCCTGCCCAATTTTAGGCTGTAGTTCATGTTTGGCTCAGGCTGAGGAATTGGTACCAAATTTTAGAAATGTCTTCAGAAAAATCCAATGTTGGAAGCTTTACAAAATGCTCCGAGAACTTTAACATTCTTTAAATTGAACTTTACAGAGTACAAATCACTGGGGATTTTTGTCTCTGAAAATAAATCAGGCAGAGTAGAAATGTGCGAGGGTAGGAAGGTTCTCATGTCTGTGGGAGTAAAGAGGGTCTCTCCAGGCCCACGATTAACCCATGTTCCGCCGCTTAGTGATTAGTTGATAAGAAGCTTAAACCCTCGTAAATAGCTGGTGCTTAAAAGAGTTCCACACAGGCGTGTTCAACTTGAAATTCAATACAATCTCCAAGATCCCAACCTGTGGTTTCCTTTCAATGGACAGTAAGAATAAGTGTCCATAATTGCACCAGCAGCCACCCACCTCATTTAATCTCCCACACAAGACTCAGTCCTTACATAGCGAATGTTCAGATCTTGTCTGAGTAGGAACAACTGTTACAGCCCAAAGCCTAGCACACTGTAGGACTGTTCCCCAGGAGACACACAGCCTAGCACACTGTAGGGCTCTTCCCCAGGAGACACACAGCCTAGCACACTGTAGGGCTCTTCCCCAGGAGACACACAGCCTAGCACACTGTAGGACTGTTCCCCAGGAGACACACAGCCTAGCACACTGTAGGACTGTTCCCCAGGAGACACACAGCCTAGCACACTGTAGGACTCTTCCACAGGAGACTGCTTAAGAGCCTTGGTAAGGTTCACAGCACCTCATTCACAAAGCAAAGAATTCCTCGGCTGGGCGCTGAAGAAAGGGCTCAGAGGTTAAGAAGCTCAGCGTGCTGGCTGCTCTTCCAAAGGACCCAAGACTGGCTCCCAGCACCCACATCAGACCGCTCACAAGACCAAGGGGTCCAACACCCTCTCTGGCCTCTCTAGACAGACATACATACACATAAACAAAAATAAATCTAGA